TTTAAACACTTAGGAAATATCTAAAATTTGAACTCCAACCTAACTGTAGCGATAATGATTCTTTCCCTACTACTAAGAAAAGAATTCTCCTTATAGCAATATTCATTAAGCTTTCTTTCCCTCTAATTCTTGCCTTTGTTGAAGGCATTCTTCTAATCGTCTTGGTCCTAATCTTCTTGATCCTAATCTTCTATTTACTCCCCAATTCTTCTACATCAAAAAAAGGTGTTAAAGTCCATCGCAATCATCACTTATATTGTTCCACTCTATATCAATTTGATATCAAAGTCGATGTTCGTAAATCCTATACTTCAAAATGACTAAATTCACTTTAAAATATGTTGCGATCATGGCTTCAACTACTTATTTGTTCATCTTTATGTTTAATCCCCATACAAATTTGAGGGATCATAATGAAATTCCAAGAAATCACTGATTTCATAAGTCCAAAATCTAACCAACAAATAAACCCAACACTGATCTACAATCCCTCTTCAACCAACTACTTGTCAGGTCTTCTTTCTTTTGTGATAGCAAAACATAAATCCCCTCTTTCTCAATTTTTACATGTCATATACCACCCAATCAAATTGTTTACCCTCCAACACACCCACTTAAGTATCACAAAAACACTTATATTTTCCTCTTAAATTTGAATTTCCCAAAATCTTCATCCATATTCATTAAAATTTCACCAAAACTGCCTCTATAAATTTAAAATTCATAGCCTCCACCAAACAAATCCTACCAATTCCTTAAACACTTAAAAATAACTAAACTTTGAACCCCAACCTAATCTTCGCCATAATGACTCTTTCCCTACAACTAAGAAAAGTATTGTGCCCCCCTCCTAAACTTCCCATCCCCCACACAATAAAACTGCCTCTTTAAATTTGAAATTCATGACTATCACCTAACAAATCCTACCAACTCTTTAAACACTTAAAAATATCTAAAATTTGAACTCCAACCTAATCTTAGCCATAATGATTCTTTCTCTACTACTAAGAAAAAAATTCTCCTTATAGCAATATTCTTTAAGCATTCTTTCCCTCTAACTCCTGCCTTTGTTTAAGGCATTCTTCTTATCTTCTGGGTCCTAATCTTCTTGATTCTAATCTTCTCTTTACTCCCCAGTTCCTCTACATCAAAATAAGGTGTCGAAGTCCACCGCAATCATCACTTATATTGTTTCACTCTATATCAATTAGATATCAAAGTCAATGTTCGTAAATCCAATTCTCCATAGTGACTAAATTCACTTTAAAATGTGTTGTGATCATGGCTTCAACTCCTTATTTATTCATCTTCTATGTGTAAGCCCCATAAAAATTTGAGGGATCATAATGAATTTCCAAGAAATCAAATTGATTTCATAAGTACAAAATCTAACCAACAAATAAACCCAAGGCTGATCTATAATCCCTCCTCAACGAACTACTTGCTAGATCTTCTTCCTTTCGTGAAAGCAAAACATAAATCCCCTCTTTCTCAATTTTAACATGTCATATACCAGCCAATCAAATTGTTTACCCTCCAACACACCCACCTAAGTTTAACAAAAACACTTATATTTTCCTCTTAAAATTGAATTTCACAAAATCTTCATCCATATTCATTAAATTTTCAATAAAACTGCCTGTTTAAATTTAAAATTCATACCCACCACCTAACAAATCCTACCAACTCCTTAAACACTTAAAAATAACTAAAATTTGAACTTCAACCTAATCTTAGCCATAATGATTCTTTCTTTACTACTAAGAAAAGAATTGTGCTCCCCTCCTAACCTTCCCATCCTCCACACACCTAAACTGCCTCTCTACATTTGAAATTCATAGCCATCACCTAACAAATCCTACCAACTCTTTAAACACTTAAAAAAAAAACTAAAATTTGAACTCCAACTTAACCTTAGCCATAATGATTCATTCCATACTACTAAAAAAAGAATTCTCCTTGTAGCCAATATTCCTTAAGCTTTCTTTCCCTCTAATTCCTGGCTTGTTTCTGGCTTTGTTTAAGGCATTCTTCTAATCTTCTTGGTGCTATTCTTCCTGATCCTAATCTTCTCTTTACTCAACAATTCTTCTACATCAAAATAAGGTGTTGAAGTCCATCGCAATCATCACTTATATTGTTCCACTCTATATCAATTTGATATCAAAGTCAATGCTCATAAATCCTGTTCTCCAAAATGACTAAATTCACTTTAAAATGTGTTGTGATCATGGCTTCAACTCCCTATTTGTTCATCTTCTATTTTTAAGCCCCATGCAAATTTGAGGGATCATAATGAATTTCCAAGAAATCACTGATTTCATAAGTCCAAAATCTAACCAACAAATAAACACATCACTGATCTATAATCCCTCTTCAACCAAATACAAAAAATAAATCCCCTCTTTCTCAATTTTTACATGTCATATACC